GGGCACTCAGTATCTGCTGGTGTGTTTGATCCCAGTGTAATGGATGAGTTTATCTCCTTGCACTCCCATCTATCCACCATCTACCATGATTAGAAGTATCACACAGTAGATGGTGCTTGTCTATAGCACATTAACACACACTCTCGCTAACCGCCTCCTCCCTCATCCTCTTCAGGGCCCTTTACAGTGCTCTCAGGGTTCAGGACCAGAGGATGGAGGAGAGCTCACTCTTGCTTGTGGTAAGCTTTCAGTTCTAAGAGAAAAGCTGAACACACACGCCTAGATCATGAACTAAAATGTAAACCTCACAACACACCAATGAGCACAAATGTCTGGTTCGTGGATATATTCCAAGGGCTTGGCACATAGTAGGTGCTCAATAAATATTTGTTGAATGAATGAAATGAATACCAGCTGCATATTAACTGCTGAGTAATGGAGCCATCAAAGCTTGGCAGTTAATTGTGCAAAGCTTTCTGGTAGGATGGGGTGGGGATCAGCAGACCAGAGTGCAGCCATTCCTGGGTGTGGGGGTTGGGTAGGGAGACATTCCTGGCAGGGGCCTGCAGGAGGAGGCATGAAGTGAGTAGATGTGTCCTTGACCCAAGTGAAGTCCTTGACCTGAATGATGTTGGGAATGATAGGGAAAGCCAGGCAACAAGGGCAAGAATCCCGAAAGCCATGGGGCGAAGTAGAGACTGAGGGTGGGATTGAGGAAGGAAAGAGAGAAGTGGAGGGGAGGTAGATTTCTAGGGAAAAGAAGAGAGAAGATGCTTGGTCTTAGACTGTTACTCTCCAGAGCCCCTTGGAAGGACAAAGAGGGGGAGGGGCGAAGAGAATGGGAAGGAGGGGAGGTTGGGGGAGATGGAGGGAAGAGGAGGGAAGTGGAGGACAATAGAGGAAAAATGAGAAGACCCACGGCAGAATGGTGAAGGGACACTCCAGAGGTGGAAAAGCAGGGGAGGAGGTGGTTAATGAAGGAAGGAGTGCAGCACCGAGGGCAAGGCATGGGCATAGCTGAAAAGGTGGGCAATCTTGGCTTCAGCTTCATAGCAATGAACCCTCCCAGGGTAGTGACATGGACTGGAGGAGGTGCATGGGAGATGGACCTCCCCAAGGGCAGAGCTTCTGAGTCAGCCTTCATCACTCCCAGCTCCCCAGGCTACCCACAAGGGCCTTTAGCCCCTCCCTTCCTCTGGTGAATTCTTATGGATAATTGGCCACTGAGGACTTGGGTCTCTCAGCTCATGAATCCTGCCTGCTGGATGGCCTAGGGTCGCCTCCCTTATCAACAGCCTGAGTGTTATGTAAATAGCCACTCCTTCACCTCTCAATTCCCCTCACTGAAACGTAGCCTGCATCTGCTTTCTGTGAACTTTCTAGAAAGTATGAGCTGCAAGGTTATCCCCCTGGGCTGCCTGCAAGCCTGGTGTGCAGGTGTTTTGGTATCCTCCAGATGTAGAGTGCACAGGTTTCCTCCTACTGTGTGGCTTTGAAGCAGAATCCCAGAGATGGTGCTCCCTGCTTCTGCGGACTCTGCCTCAACTGGCTCTCCACTGTCACAGAATCTCATAGTCCTGGCCTCTCCTGCGAGGGTGCCCAGGTCTCCCTACTCTCCACTCTCTGAATTACCTCCATGCACACCTTTTCACCAAAGCTGCCTCACCTGCTTCCTTACTGATGTTTGTTCTCACCCTTTCCAGGGGGATTTCCTTACCTTTCCCATCAGATTAGCTGCAGTCTACATTGCCCCACTATGGGCACTGTCAGTAGGCACTGCATCCCTGAGCATCTGATGATATATCTGAAAAGCTGCATTCTTCAGACTTCTGGCCTTTCTCATGAAGGTGGGTCTGTCTTCCCTGTCAGACTGGGAATTCCAGAATCCACGTCTCCTTCCTTCTCTTAGTGCCTTCTTGCCTTTTTGCAAAACTCAGACAGGCTTCAGCCTATGGCAGGCACATAGCCATCACAGAATTTAACTGGATTCTCCAACAAGAGAATCTCATCTAATCCACCGTACATTTGGGATGGTGCCTTATAACATCCTTCACAGGAGAAGGGTGGACTGAAGAGAGACTTGAACGAGAGCTTCCTAATGTTATAACCACCAGATTTGTCCCTTCTTCCGAGGTATCCCTTGAACCAAGATCCACTTAAGCTTAAAAAAAAGAGGTTGTAACCTCAAGATCTGAAGGTTTCTTTGTTCATTCACCACCCTGTTTCCACAAACATGGTGGCCATTCCAGAAAAAAGAATTTTTCTCTTTTATACAAAGCTTCCGTAAATGGGAGACATAATGCAAGTTCCTTTAGGAAACCATGACTACCTACTCTCCCTATGGGAAGTTTTCCTCAACTCCAACTTGCATCTGCCCAGCCGTAGTGAATATCGGACTTTTCTCGCTGTCTTTGGAATTTCACTGTACCTGGATGGATGGCATATTCCCCCCACCTCCAACTTCATGGTATCCTTGGGCTACTGATCAATTAGGGGGTTTCAGGATCAGGCAAATATCGAGAAAAGTGAGTATTCATTGATTTATGGCTGAGGATTTCTGGTGGTCTGTTAAAACCAAAACATAAACACACATCTATGAATTATTAACAGATCACAGGCTTTTTGGACTGTCCAAGCTTCTCTTTTCATCCTGTACAAGACTGATGACATTTTCCCTTTGTCTCAGAGGTGAGATTTTCATTGGGCCTTTCCTGGGGGCAGCAGGGCTAGATTGGGGATTGAAGGAGGGGCCTTTGATTTTGGGTTCTTTCCCCTGTTCCTTGTATTGACCTCCTGGTAGAACAATAGTAGATAACATTTACTGAGCACTTGCTACGTGCCAGGTGCTGTGTTGTCCATGTATTATTTAATTTGATCCTTTTACTAGTCCTCTAAGATAGACACCATCAGTGGGAATTTTACATAGGTGGTTTAGGGATGCAGGTAGGTATATATATTTCATTAAACCTCCTGATATATCTACAGCAGCACTAGCAGCAATAACAACTACTAATATGATTATATAATTAGAGTGTGTCAGGCTCTATTGTAAGTGCTTTACGTGTATTAATTCTTTTAATCCTTACAACAACTTTATGAGGTGGATACTATTATCCCCATTTTATAAGTCATGACATGAGGTATAGAGAGGTTAAGTAATTACCTGAGATTACATAGCTAGAAAGTGGCAGAGCTGGACTTTGAAACTAGGCAGTTTGGAATCTGTGTCTGTGTTCTTAACTGATATGCCATGCATTTAAACTTTTTAATTTTTAATAATATTAAAAGAAATAATTTTGTGTAGTGACAAAGTACACACATACACACACACCACATACGATTGAGACAAAAGAAAATGAAAAGTTATTTTTACTGCATATGATGCACTCTGATATTTTCTATTCTATTTTACTTAATTTTAAAAAATATTTTATGTATTCATGAGAGACACAGAAAGAGGCAAAGACACAGGCAGAGGGAGAAGCAGACTCCCTGCAAGAGCCTGATGTGGGACTCGATGGGATCATGACCTGAGCCAAAGGCAGATGCTCAACCGCTGAGCCACCCAGGTGCCCTTCTATTAGTAGACTGCATTGTGAACTCTGAAAAAATACCACCCCAGAGACTTCTGCTTCTTAATGATTGTAATAAAGCACATCTGCACTGTGTTCTGGAGTTTACTGAGCATGTGGACATCTCTGTAACTTTTCCCAGGTGGCTTTGGGAGGAAAGATTTAATGTACTTCCCAGAGGAATGAAGTACCTTGCCCTGAGATCACGCAGAGCTATTCATGGCAGAGCCTTGGTTCCCATCCAGCCCCTTTGGATTCAAGGCCCACTCTATACACACTGCAGGTGGCATACACCAATATGGATCTGTTTTGACATATACCAAGTTTACTGACAAACTACCGTAAAGGGAAGGGGGTTACAGGGTTGGTGTAGCATAAGCAGCAGCACAGAGCTGAGGCAGGGAGGGGGTGGTGGCAGGTGGCTCGATGCCCTCCTCATGGCTCTATCTTGATTGATTCTATTATATTCTCAGCAAAATGCTATACGTAGCATTAGCGTCAAACCCAGGCTTTCTGGGCCCTGGAGGAAAATGGAAGTTTGGGGTGAAATCCAGAATGCTATCTTTTCTTGGGGTCTTGCTGGAAATACTTGGGCATTCCTGAAGCCAGTGATCCACTGTGTGCCCGCTTAGGCCTCATGGAAGAGTCTGAGGAAGGGATGCTTCTTCTCGGCATAGGCTGGCCAAGACGGCCTAATAATTTGGCCTAGGGACTGGTCTGCGTGCACATCGTTGTAGGCAAGAGTGTACGTGAGCTTGTGTGTGTGTGTGTGTGTGTGAGATTGTGGGTGGGGAGGCCAGAATGTGAATGCATTTGTGTGTGTGTGTGTATGTGTGTGTGACAGAGAGAGAGAGAGAGAGAGAGAGAAAGGGAGAGAGTTATAGAGACAGAATACGTTGATAGGTGTAGGTGAGGGTTTCGGGGACAGGCGGGGGGGGCGGTGTTGGGGCTTTGGCAGCACAGAAATGAGCAAACCGCGTGAGGGACCACCAAACGCACCCCAAATTTCACATCATCTTCTCTTGATCTCTATCCTCCCAGGGTCCCGAGGCCGTTCGATCAGCACCACGGACAGCAGCACCGCCTGTTTCCAAAGGGGCGGATGGGGGGCTGTAGCGCCGCCTGTCTCCTCCCTCCCTTCTAATCTGAGTCATTGCCACCCCTCCTCCCATCCCTGAGTTCTGCCAAATGTGTCTGGGGAGTGCAAGGGGAACCTGTGGGGGACGTGAGCTGGCCTTTTGAAGATAAACGTTGTGCAGTTTAGGGTAAAAGGCCATAAACATCTGGCCACATCTGGCCCCCAATTAAACACATTAAGGGAGGAGCCAAAAGAGCTAAACAACCCAAGCCAATAAAGACACCTAATTGCTCCTAACCCATGGAAGCATTTGGCTCCCCGCATATATAAAAGGCGCAAAGATGTCCAAGACACACACTTCAGCCACTGTGCCCTCCGTAGTACGTCTCCCTCCTCAAGCCTCCCTTGTCCCCTAGAAGCACCATGACTTGTGGATCTTACTGTGGCGGTTCAGCCTTCAGCTGCGCCTCCGCCTGCGGGCCCCGGCCCGGCCGCTGCTGCATCACGGCCGCCCCCTACCGCGGCGTCTCCTGCTACCGCGGCCTCACCGGGGGCTTCGGCAGCCACAGCGTCTGCGGGGCCTTCCGGGCCGGCTCCTGCGGCCGCAGCTTCGGCTACCGCTCGGGCGGCGTGTGCGGGCCCAGCCCGCCCTGCATCACCAGTGTGTCGGTCAACGAGAGCCTCCTGACGCCCCTCAACCTGGAGATCGACCCCAACGCGCAGTGCGTCAAGCACGAGGAGAAGGAGCAGATCAAGTGCCTCAACAGCAGGTTCGCCGCCTTCATCGACAAGGTGGGTGTCCCCGGCCGCACCCTTCCCGGGCCTTCAGTTCCTGTGGGGTCAGGGGCAGGACAGGGCGGGCCCGGGGCAGCTCCCAGTCTGATGGACCAGACGGACACAGCTCAGGGCCCGGATGCACCAAAGACGTGACTACGGGGCACAGGCTCCCGGTGGGATGGTGTGGCTCGAACGTGCACCTCTGTCCAGGCAGGCAGGTCCCCGCACAGAGACGGGGACGGGCTCGGAGCCCTCATGCCAGAGGCACAGGGTGGTCCGTGCACATAGTCGCCAGACCCAACAGAAGAATAGGAGGAGGACCGCAGGGGCACCCGAAGGGTGGGTGTCCCCGACCCCACCCTTCCTCTGCCCCACCCATGCTCAGGCCCCAGGCTGGGCACTGACGTGGGGGAAGGAGGGAGGCAGAGGCAAACGGGAGACCCTGGCTGGCTCCGGACCACGTGACCCTGCACTCATCGGGTCTGCCTGAGTCAGTTTACCTGGGAGCGGGGACTGGCCTTCCCAGCCCTGGCTCCCGTCCCTAAATTGGAAAATGCAGACACGGATGACAGTCAGGAGCTCAGGAGGTCACCTTGTGTCCCGCTGCCCAGCTCTGCCCCCCCGAAAGCAATCGTGGCCAGCCCAAAGTGGCCTTGGGGCACCAGGAGCCACCTGACGCCCTCCTCCCGCCCCGACGCAGGTGCGCTTCCTGGAGCAGCAGAACAAGCTGCTGGAGACCAAGTGGCAGTTCTACCAGAACCGCAAGTGCTGCGAGAGCAACCTGGAGCCCCTGTTCGAGGGCTACATCGAGACGCTGAGGCGGGAGGCCGAGTGCGTGGAGGCCGACAGCGGGAGGCTGGCCTCCGAGCTCAACCACGTCCAGGAGGTGCTGGAGGGCTACAAGAAGAAGTGAGTGCGGCCAGCAGGGACGCTGGGCACAGGAAACGACGTGGCGTAGAGCCCGCTGGGCTGGACTGGGCATGAGTGTCCCAGGGGGCGAGTGGCTGTGCGGGCGGGGGGCAGCGTGCGGCAGGGTCCTCTCGTCTGGGCCACGGCTGCCAGACGCCTGCCCGAGCACCCGGATGCCCCCGGCAGACATCTGTCTCCTGCTTGGGCCTTCTGGCTTCTGGGAGGCTGTTCCCTGGGCCCGGCGGGAGGCCAGAGGGGGCTTCTGCAGGCTTTGGGCCTTCTCATGCTGAGCTCCCTGCACTTGAGCTTCTGGTCCCTCGGGGCTGACGGGTCCCGGGGCCCTGGGTGTCCCGCTGCCGAGGGTGCTGAGGGCTGATGGTTGGCGGTTGGCCCAGGCCCGGACCCTGAGCCAGGATGGACGCCCGGGTGAGGGGGGCTGGGGCCTCGGTCCCCAGGGGTGCTGCTGTCCACTCCTAGCTCAGAGCTGGGCGCCCAGGCCTTGTTTGCCTCCCGAGGGGCCTCTGGGCAGCTCTGGGAAGTGGGCTCTGAGGTCCCGGGACGTAGGCGCTCCGGACCCCTCAATTCAAAGTGGGGAGGGAACCCCCGACACATTCCACATCCAAGCAGCAAGAAAGGGTCCAGCGGATCTGCCGGGGGCCAGCCGCTGGGAGGTCCCTAAAGGTCCCTAATGCTGCCCCTGCCCTGATAGGAAGTGGAGGTGGCCCCGGGGAGCCCCGCCCTTCCCTGACCTCCCTGTCTGCCCTCTTCTGCCTCAGGTATGAGGAGGAAGTTTCTCTGAGAGCAACAGCTGAGAATGAATTTGTGGCTCTGAAGAAGGTGAGTAAGGAGCCGTGCGGAAGCACAGACGCCCGGGACCTCAAAACGACGGCCGGGCCCCAGAGGGTCTGGACCTCGTGTGGGTACCTGGCCTGGCCAAGTCGGGATGGCAGAGCTCAGAGATCGGGGCTCGAGAGGCTCATTCAGGTCGCTGATGCAGGGCGACCACCCTGGGATGCCCACGTGCACCGTGCCCTGGGGCAGGGCCCGGCTGGGCTGACCTCTGCCGTCCTGCCCGCTTCAGAAGCTGTGGCCTCGGCTGGGGTCCCCGGGGGCAGAGCAGTGCGGTGTCTCTGTCGAGGGACAGTGTCCTGTGTAGCGCTGTGGGAAGTGTGGCCCAAGGGAGGGGAGCAGCCGCGGGGTGTGGGGGACGGTGGAGCAGAACCAGGAGGGGCCGGGTGCAGGCTTGGAGGACTGCGGGGGCCCGGCAGGGCCCAGGTGGCCGAGCTTGTTGGAATAGGGAGGGTCAGGAGGAGAGCTGGGAGCGTAAGAGGGCGAGAGGCTGGTGGCCCGTCTCCAGGCACAAGGGGCTCATCGTCAGAGGGGCAGGAGGCGGTGAAGCCCACGGGGGGGCAGGCCAGAGGGCATGGAGCTGAGCTGGCAACGGGGACCCTGGGAATCCTTTGCCCTGGCCTCCTCGGATGGCGGGGAGTTGGGCGCGATGCCACTGTGGGTGCTCGGCGCTCAGTGACACCCCACGTTTCCAGGATGTGGACTGCGCCTACCTCCGCAAGTCAGACCTGGAGGCCAACGCCGAGGCCCTGACCGAGGAGATCGACTTCCTGCGGCGCCTGTATGAGGAGGTGAGGGGCCATGGTCCAGGCAGAGACCTGGCAGCCAGCCTGGAAGAGGGGGCCCTGGCCTGGGACTGGTTGGCCTGGGATCGGGCTGAGGCCTGCAGTCCATGGGGCTATAGTGGGAGCAGGGGCCGGAGACCAGGGGGGGTTGGGTCCACATGTGCTGGGAGAGGCTGGGGTGCAAACAAGATCTTCCATCCTCCCCCCGCAGGAGATCCGCGTCCTCCACGCCCACATCTCAGACACCTCGGTCATCGTCAAGATGGACAACAGCCGGGACCTGAACATGGACTGCGTCGTGGCCGAGATCAAGGCCCAGTATGACGACATCGTCAGCCGCAGCCGGGCTGAGGCCGAGTCCTGGTACCGCAGCAAGGTCGGGGCCCAGCCTCCCCCTGCCAGAGCCCCAGAAGGAGGGATGCTGAAAGGGCTTTGGGTTTTGTGCAGGTGGATGGACGAGGGAAGGGCAGGCAGCCCTCGGGTTGGGGTGGCAGTTGTGCAAGGTGTGGGGCTCAGCGGGATGACCCGTCCTGAGCCTCAGGAGCCCCTGTGAACCGTCCCCCCCACCCCCTCAGTGTGAGGAGATGAAGGCCACGGTGATCCGGCACGGGGAGACCCTGCGCCGCACCAAGGAGGAGATCAACGAGCTCAACCGCATGATCCAGAGGCTGACGGCCGAGGTCGAGAACGCCAAGTGCCAGGTAGGGCTCACGTTGAGCATCCCCAGGGCCGCCCAGGCAGCGTGTGCCCCAGGGACCACCCCACTCACGCCCCAGCCCATGTGCCTGGCTAGAGGCCCTGGTTGTGGCCCTTGGGGGGACCCGGCTGATGAAGGGAGAGGCCTTTTCCTGGGGGGGGGTGTAGGTGGGAGCGACCAGACACATCCAGGAAATGGAGAGAGAGACCCGGGACCATAGCACCCTGTTCTCTGCGCCCCCAGAACACCAAGCTGGAGGCCGCCGTGACGCAGGCGGAGCAGCAGGGCGAGGCGGCCCTCACCGACGCCCGCTGCAAGCTGGCCGAGCTGGAGGCCGCCCTGCAGAAGGCCAAGCAGGACATGGCCTGCCTGGTCAAGGAGTACCAGGAGGTGATGAACTCCAAGCTGGGCCTGGACATCGAGATCGCCACCTACAGGCGGCTGCTGGAGGGCGAGGAGCAGAGGTGGGTCCCGTAGCCTATTTGTCTCCCCGCCTAGCCTGGGTTCCCAGCGTGCCACGTGTCTGCTGGCATCCCTGGACTCCCATTTCCAAATCTCCCCATCCTGCATCTTTACAGGTAATGAGTAAGTCCTTTTGGTGTGTTTCTGGCCCCCTTTGTCTCAGTCATGCTCCCAAGTGCTACAATGGGTTTGGTACCTTTTGCAAATATACTCCTGAGAGCCCGGAGTCAGGTCAGAGTTATTGTTCCTGAGAACTCTCCAAGCCTGGCCTTGTAGCCACCTCCCCTGTGCAAGTGCTTTTCCCTTCCCGCTGCTTATTGCACATCACCCAGGTTCTAGGTGTCTTCTCAAGCCTGGCCCTGGACCAGCCCAGGCAGTTGGTAATTATCCCATAATGACTGCCTCCCGTGGGGATTTTGTCCACTGACAGTCATATATTGCACTGTGGAGGGTACCCCTATGTGGTATTGCATCGCAGCAGGAAGGAACGAGGGGGGAGAGATTGCAGGGCCTTGTCCCTGGAGGCATCTGTGTCCTGTTCTGGCATTTTTGCTTATTGCTAGCTTTGGACATGGCAGGGAAGACCCATTCATCGGTGTGCCTTCCTACGGCTGGAGGGCAGCTGGTCTAGTCCCAGGAGGACAACACTCCCAGAATGTTGGGCCGGGTTGGTCGGGCGCTCACTCCCGGGGCCAGGCCCCTCCTCTGAAGCACAGGAGAGTGCAGGGTGAGATGCAGAGGGAGCACCTGCGAGCATGCTGTGTGCTGGGGAGATAGGGACTCTGGAATCAAAGTGGTCACCTGGTGAGACTTGCAGCAGCCTCAAGCAATTGCTTTGGAGGGCTCCGAGGCCCCGTGGCTCACTGCGCTCGGGGAGTTTCGTTAGTGGAGGACGCCAGGACGAAGCATTTTTCAAGACTGAGTCTGGACGTTCAAGAGACGCCTGGAGATAGCCCTGGAACCCGAGTGGCCCACCCATCCCTCCACCGCATAGGGCTCCTGGGGTGAACTCAGCAGCTTCGGCGTGGGTTCCCTCTACACCCTGGGCGTGGGATGAGTAGACGGTGGGCTGCGGATTCTCCTCGTGTCTGAAGCTGATGTAGTCAACCCTCTGCCACGGAGCTATCAGAGGGACGCCCGTGTGTCCCCCCCTAAGGAGATGCCTTGTGTGTGGGAAGGAATGGAGAGGCTGCGTGGAATTACAGTCCCGCCCCATCTCTGGTTATTCCCTCTCTCTGGGCCTCAGTTTCTCCATCTGTCAAATGAGGGCGCTTGTAGAGACAGTCTCCAAGCCTGTTCCGAATGGGTTCTAGAATCCCATTCCACCCCGCAACAGTTCCTTACGGAGCCAAACGTGGGTTTAGGCACTGCCCGCTGCGCAGTGGGGGGAAAGTCAAGACAAAAACGAACATCTGGCCTCTGGAAGCTCAGGTTCTAGTGAGGCCAAGCAGACGGCATTCAGGACGTCGGATGTGCGGCGCCTGCGACGTGTCCACAGGTGGAGCAGAATCAACAAAAATAGCAGCAGTGCACACGTCCGCACTCGGCACCCGCGTGGGTCACTGATTCCACCGTCACAGGGGATCTAGGAGATGGCCCCGTGAGGAGGGAGGCCGAGCCAGGCAGGGCGCATCCTAGGTTGCAGGGCCGAGGGCTGCCTGGAGGCGGGGGCGCTCTGTCTCAGAGCCCGCGGGCCGTGGTGGCTGGGCCACCCCGGCTTCCCCACAGCGAGCTCCCAGGAGGAGGCAGGGGCATCCCCCTCACCTGGGCCGCGGGGCCGGGCGGCTGGCCCCCCGACACTGACCTCTCTCTCTTCTCCTTCCCCAACAGGCTGTGTGAGGGTGTCGGCGCCGTCAACGTGTGTAAGTAGCCGAGCTCCCCCTTCTTGGGGCGGGGAGGGCCCACATCTGCGGGGAGGGACTCGGGACCCCCCCCCCCCAGCCACCTGCTGTGGCCGTGCCTGACGTCTTCCATCCCCCATCCAGGCGTCAGCAGCTCCCGCGGTGGCGTCGTCTGTGGCGATCTCTGCGCCTCCGGTGCTGCCCCTGCTGTCACCACCAGAGTCTGCAGTGCCCCGTGCAGCGGCAACCTGGTGGTGGGCACCAGCGCCTGCACCCCCTGCCCCGGGGCCAGCGCCTGCAGCGTGGCCTGTAAGAAGTGCTAGGGCCGCCGGCGCGCATCCCCGTCACCCACCGCCCCAGGACACCCGCGGCCGCGCCCGCCAGCTGCTGGCCCTCCGAGAGCGGGGGCCAGAGGTGCACACTGCACGCCCGCCCCACCTGCTCCCCGGGGCCCCCCTCTCCGTAGCCTTTCCTAGTGGTGGATTTGTTGTCTTGAGGATTCAACCTTTCTTCTGCCTTTCTGCTTCTCCGCTGGATTCATGGGTCCTGCCTGAGCCCTTCACCCCAGCTTGCAGGGCCCGGGGGCGGGCGGGGCCCCGAATCCCCCCATCTACACTTCCTGGGAACCCGCCAGGGTGCTCTGCCTGTGGACCGGGGGTGGGGAACGCCGATGGTGGTTTTCCTGAAACCCTGTGAGGGACGTGACCCGTGGGAGGGAAGAGCATCTCCTCCCAGGGCTGCCTGCAGAGGCTTCTACAAAGCCAGTGACCCAACTGCCGGTCTGTCTCTTTGCCTTTGCTTCACTCTGTGTTTCCAATAAACTAATTGTAGCTTATCAAACCTGGTGCCTCAGAGTCTTGAAAGTGCCAGGGCCGCCCTATGATAGGAGCTCCCGGCCAGGGATTTCCTCAGGACCCCTCCATCCACTTACCTGCTAGCACTGCTGCCCCTCTGGCCTTGAGCCACCTAAGTCTTGGGAAAACGAAAGAAGAGCATGGACGCGCGGCATCTGGTGTGATCGTGGATTTGTCTAGACCAAGGTGTCTCAGTTTCAGCAGTACTGGCATTTGGGGCTGGGGCAGTCTTTGTTGGGGGTCTGTCCTGTGCGTTGTAGGATGCTTGGCAGCATCACTGGCGTCTGCCCACCGGACGCCCGGGCCACGCCTCTTCCCCCGCCCCCACCAATTGTGACAACCAAAAATGTCTCTATTTTATTTTTTATTTCATTTATTTTTCTTTATTTTTATTTCAAAAATGTCTCTAGAAATGACCAACCATGCCATAGGCATTCTCAACTGGGGTGATTTTGTTCCCCTCTCCCCGGGGCATTCCTGGACGGGAAGGAGCAGAGGAAAGGTGTGAAGATGACAATGGAAGGAAGGAGTGTGAGACAAGCCATGTGGGGGGAGAGGAAGGGCATTGGGCTCAGAGGCAGGAGGAGGCTTCTAATTCAGAGTCCTGACCCTGCCACTTCCCAGACGTGGGGCTTAGGGCAAAGTCCTTCTATGGTCTGAGCTTCAGTTTCTTTGGCTATACAGTGAAGGCGATTGGATAATATTCCTAAGGTCCCTTCTGGCTCCCAAAATGAGATTATGTATTTAAAAGGATGTTGTTAAGGGCTCAGTGGTTCAGCACCGCCTTCAGCCCAGGTCGTGATCCTGGAGTCCCGGGATCGAGTCCCACATCGGGCTCCCTGCATGGAGCCTGCTTCTCCCTCTGCCTGTGTCTGCCTCTCTCTCTCTCTCTCTCTCTCTCTCTCTCTCTCTCTCTCTCATGAATAAATAAATAAAATCTTAAAAAAAAGGATGTTGTTAATACAGACCTATGTTTGAATGTTGGTTCAGCCATTTACTTCCTCCGTAATGGGGCAAATCACTAACCTCATTCACCTGTAGCTTTTTCTTTTTTTTTTATTTACTTATGATAGTCACGCACACACAGAGAGAGAGAGAGAGAGAGAGAGAGAGAGAGAGAGAGGCAGAGACACAGGCAGAGGGAGAGGGAGAAGCAGGCTCCATGCACCGGGAGCCCGATGTGGGATTCGATCCCGGGTCTCCAGGATCGCGCCCTGAGCCAAAGGCAGGCGCCAAACCGCTGCGCCACCCAGGGATCCCCCTGTAGCCTTTTCATCTGTAAATGGAATAATGACACCTGCTGAGCTGTAGTCAGATATTTGTTGCTTGTGACAAAGCCCTCCGAAGAAATTTAGAGGCTTAACACAATACGGGCATCCTCTGCGTTTTGAAAGTCTGTGTTACACGGTTTCCCTTTTACAAAGGACATAGACAGTAGTACCTGTTTTCACCGATTGAAAGGAAAAAAAAGGGTGAAAAGCAAATATAGCATTCAGCACGTGTTTTACAGCCAGCTGTTACAGGGGCGGCGCACAACCCAGCAGCAAGAGGGGTGCCCCCTAAGCCCCCTCCCCGGGAACTACACTCAGCATCTCCTGTTAGCATCAAGCTGTTAGAGCTTTGAACCACGGCTGAGAGCATCTGGGCTTTATCTCCGTTTATTTTGCACACTCTTTGCAAGATGTATCCTAAGGTAGCAGAAAAGCCTAAGAGGGGCTTTTTTTTTTTTGAGTCTGGGACGCTTATACATTTTTTCCATATAAATTAGTGGTAAACACTTCTTCACTTAACGTCACATCAGCTTATGAAATGTTTCCTAGGAATGCTCTGTGTTCGGATAGCGGGAGACCATGTTTCCCCATCGCTCATGATTGTGGGCTTGCTGGGAAGTTCCTCTTCTACTTTCTGTGCTGCTGTGTGGGGTGTAGGATGTCTGTGAGGTCCAAAACAGTCTCCTCGCACATGGCTGGGAGCCCAGCGAGAGGTATTGAGCTGAGTTCTGGAGAAGCGTGGTGCTGCAGGAATCTGCCAAGAGGAGGACACTGGAACCTGGAAGGAAACCCCCTTCCTCTTGCACCGTCTTTCCAGCACCCTCTACTGACAGAGCCCAATGTCGTGTCAGCTGATGAAAAACACTTAAAAGGCCCGTCTAAATGTCCACAGAGCGGGCAATGATGGATATGAATCGGGAGCTGAGAGACCATAAATTGATGATTGGCTTACAGGGACTTGGTTCTCTTCTGTATGAACCTCTGCCGTGTGTCTCCTTGGGCTTCCTCGCAGGAAGGTTCCTAGAAGAATGAAGCAAGGAATTTCCAGTCCCCTACAGGCCTGACCTCAGAAGGTCACTTCCACCATGTTCTATTGGCCAAACCTGTCACAGGTTTGATTCAAGGGAAGGGGAATCGGGCTCCATCTCTTGATGGCTTCTTGTGCAGGGAGGAAAGAATGGTTGGTCCCGCGGCGCACTTGCTGGCCACAAGCTTTCATGTCTCCCCTGCAAAGAACGTGTGCTCGCCCCCTCCCAAATCCCGCAAAGTTTCATCGTGTTGTGGCATCAACTTGAGGCTCAGGATCTCACTATTTGGATCAGATCCGAGTATGCACAAGGCTCTTGGGACGTGGTTCCCTTGTTGCAGCTCCCCGCCGTGGTTTACCTCAGTCTGAAGGCCTGTGTTTTTATGGCCACCACACACCTGTCACGTATGGCGAGATAGGGATAGCATCGCCACACTAGTCACTCCCGTTAGAGGGAGGAAAAGCTGGGGGCACTTAGAAGTCGCGGGCTCAAAGCAATTCCGAGTAGAGTCAGGCAGGCACTGCTAGCCCCTCCCGTCGCAGGGGCAGGGAGCGTGTTTCATCAGTGCCTACTTTTGTTCCCTAGAAGTGGTCGTCCTCTGTTCTTGGCTCTATCCTTTGGAATCTTGGTTCCCTTTTCTGAATTGTTCTTCCTTTTCCATGATAAGTGGGCCACGTTTTCCTAGCCTGCTTCCTGTCTGCAGGAGGGCAGGTGCCCAGAGGCTCATTTCCATTTTGAACCATTTCTGTTCCTTCTAGTTGAGAACTGCTAAAATTCTTTATAAAAATGTTGTTTCTGGTGTATCAAATGATAGCAGACTTCCTTAGGCAAAAAAGCTATCCCCATAAATATTTTTGAGATAGGGTCCTCTCACCCTTGGGCTGTGAGTCCTAATGCTTGGGGACGACCCCGAAGATTCTCGGAAGCCCTGCTGCTTAGGGGGAGGATCTATAAAGTTGCCTTCAAGATTCTCAGAAAACTTTTGGTCGGCTGAGTGAGTCTAAGAGACTCTGAATTAAATCTTTCTGAGATCTCAGCGAAGGGTCTAACAGCTGCAGTCTTTGACTTTGACGTGAGGGCATGGTTTACTGGCCGTGCTTTGTGTGCGATCTTTGCTCTGAGGCCTGCTCTTTCTTTCTTTCTTTCTTTCTTTCTTTCTTTCTTTCTTTCTTTCTTCCTTTCTTTCTTTTCATCAGATTTTATTTATTTATTCACGAGAGACACGCAGGGAGAGGCAGAGACACAGGCAGAGGGAGAAGCAGGCTCCATGCAGGGAGCCCGACGTGGGACTCGATCCCAGGACCCTGGGATCATGGCCTGAGCCAAAGACAGATGGTCAACCACTGAGCCACCCAAATGTCCCTCTGAGGCCCTTTCTTACCCTGAGAACCTTTGGCCGACCGGAAAGACCGTCTCCGTCTCCATTATTCTTCTGAATTGTGCTAAGAAGCTAATCATTTCCTTCTCTAGCCCATTTGTCTCCTCTTACATTTTATCGTAGGCGGCTAGGGGAAGCCAGTGGCATTCTCATCATTCTCCTGGAAACCTTAGCCAGGTCCACAAATCCATTCGATGTCCTTTTTTGTCTTCCTTGTCACCACAGGCCAGAGCACTGCCAAACCCGTCACCACTACGTAACACGTGTCACCTTTTACAGCATCTACTAATAACTTCCTCATTGTCCTTCCAGCAGCCTTCACCAATGGCCTCCTTAAGGACATCCAGAGTCAGCCTGGTGCCCGGTCCCCAAACCAGTCGTAACCAAACTCAAGTTCGTTTGCCCAACGTGCCGCAAAGCCGATCATTGAGACACAGAGCACGCAGGAAGGAAAAGGTTTATTCGAGAGGCAGCCAAACAAGGAGACGGGATGGCAAGCCTCCAGCCCTCGTCTCTCTAAAGGGGGAGAGGACACGTTTGTCTACAATCATAGGAGATGAGATTATATACATCTTCACGGAAAGGGCAGGGGAACCTATGACTAGTCAGGAAAACAGGTGGAGCACGCGCACTGAGCAAACGTAGATGGGACACACATACCGTGCTCACTTTGGGGCGGGCCCTTAATATCAGAAGGAGGCAAAATTTAGCTCCTGCCGTTAAGCGTTCAGTGGTTGTCTCAGGACAAAGGAGAAGGGTCTATGGGTGTGCCCCGAGAGCCCTACAGACTGGACGGGCTCCTTGTCTCGGGTAAGGAAGCGGGGGCCTTGCTGCTTCCTAGGCTGGACCCCTAGCGGTTGACCTGGAGTCCAGGCTTCTGCAGAGACAGCCCGTGGATTTGCCAGTGGGATCTGAGAAGACGCAGCGGCTGATCAGGGAGAAACAGTTCCCTGTGAAGAACAAGCTTTACGTTTTCTGTGAGTTTCGATCTCGGGATCTCTGTGGGGCACAGTTTCGTGACGTCACGGGGTTTAGGTTTTCCTACAGTAGCGCCGACTTCCAGGTACCGGTTTCTTCACTTATCTGTTGCTGTACAAAAATAGCCCCCAACCTAGCGGCTTAAAACAATGCTCTTCCTCACGATCGTGTAGTTTGGATGATTCTTCTGCTTCCTGTTATCGGCCGGGGCTCCGCGATGTCCAGGATGGCTTCGCTCACGTGGTTGACCTTGGTGTGGGCTCAGCTGGGGCTGGTGGCCAGGAGCCTCCCTCTGCTCCCCTCCACGTGCTGCTGGTTCTCCTAAGGCTGG